CGGGTGATACCGGGCCATGGACAGGAGGATGGGCCGAGGGGATAGGAGAAAGGACGAAGGGTGATTTGTAATTTAAGGTGTATGAATTAAATTGTCTCTAACAACACAAGGTAAAAATGGGCCCGTCCATTACTAAGAGGGTTCAAGTGTTCACTGCTAAATTTTCCATTTTATTAATGGTTTTGGATATTTTGATAAATTAGTTAATTAGATTGATAATAAAATACAATTTCATTCAGTTAAACAACGAACATTATTTCTCATTCTCAAATAGATATGTGAATTTAATGGAAAAATCCATTACATTTTTATGACAAATAGTTGCTAATTATCTACCGAACATAGTAATGGTATATATAAATGTGAATAAGAATAAAAAGTAAGGAATAAGTGTATCTGAATTAATATTCTACAAAATATTTCGAAAATGTTTTTGACTGCATAGTTTGCAAGTTATTTTTTACCCATACCCATTACTCACAGCTGTAAGAGCTCTTGCGCGATTTATAAGAAACAATCACTGTGATAAATTGCAAAACAAAAAGAACACCCTCAATATACTTGTTAATTTTCTATCTATAAAAATTAACACCTACAAAAACAATCATCGGTGTGCCCCTACGGCCTTCCTCCCAGTTAGTAATGCTAGGATTACTAAGAGGTGGATAATTAGAACAGTTTTTACCAAACTGATTTTTATTTCGTTAAGTTCGACTTTTCGTAATCAAAGTGGATCTATTAAATGAATCTTTATACAAAAATAGAAACATTGCACCAGGTACATATTTTAAAAGTTGCAGAAAGAGGTCAACTTTCGCAATAAACGAAATTTCAGAGGTTTTCGGTTTGGGCCGACCTGTGCCATTTATGCGGACTTTGCCCTACAAAAGCTAAATATTGAAAGAAACTAGTGCCACTGAAAGAGCACGTACTTTCTCGTCCGTACTTTCACGCAAAATTACGCGAAAACTACTCAAATTTTTGAAAATTGTACAAGACTATTTCAAAATCGAAATCTTTAAGGAACAGATTTCAATAAGGGAAAAAAATTAACTTTTTCATAATTGTAGTTGTAGCAAGACGCCGAAAATATTTTGGATCTTTGCAATTTTCGAAAAATCAGTTTTTTAACGAAAATGAGTCTTACACCATTTTCTTTAACGTCTTTCACACTATATAACAACAAACTTTCATAAAAAAAGCAATGGAGTGTTTTTTTTGAACTTTTGAAAATGCCCCAGGGGCTTCATGTACAGTACCTCTTAAAATTAAAATATCGGTTTCGAATTCCAAGGGCCGCAAAACCAGCCAGATCAATCGTGGAATATCAATTGCAGAGAAAATGTATGAACGGGTTAACCAGTAGCATTGTTCACAGACCGACGGATAGACGTTTTGTCATCAATTGATATTTTTTTCGGTAATCAAAAACTCCCACAAAAAATGGATTCTGGCTACACCACGTTGCTTTTTCTGGAAATTTAGCAACTGTATTTATCCACTTTTCGGTACCAGAGCTCTGTAAGGAGAGTTTTTCTGCCGAAAATTCGCCGTTCTCCGCGCAGCTATTTGTAACTTTCTCAGTTACTGCGTAGAGCGGTGCGAGAAAGGCAAACCGGGTGGGAGGGGCTTGACGCGATGTTGTGCGGCGCTGCGTGCAGGACGCCGGGCCTGCCGCTTAGAGGTGCGTCTGGCGGCCGTTGGACGCGCTGCGCCGCGTGCCGTGCCGGCGCCGTGCGACCCGCGAGCCGCTGCTGCGCCTGTTTCCCGCCGCCCAGCGCGCAGACCCCGAGCTGCGCAATCGCCGCCTACCTGGGCGCCATCGCTGCCGCCGACGCCAAGCCGTCTTCCCAGCCGTGCGCGACGCCATGCTGCGCGAGGACCTGGGGACAAGGTACGCAACCATTATACTCGTCTTTTGCCCCGCTGGTGCGGTAGGCAACTTTTATGCTTGTGATGTTGTGCAGGTTACGTTTTGACGAGGAGCTTAAGTGGATGTGGTGGACTCACTAAAAATCCTACGCATATGGGGGTACCAGCATTTCAAAGGGCCAATTATAGTATTACCAATTTACGTAATTATGCAACTTTTCACAACATTCTTTTTAGTGCGGAGGTTGATTTGGGAGGGAGAACGCTAAAAAATGATCAATAAAATGCTCTTAATTTTTTTTAACGCCGTAAGCCCAGGAAAATAAGTTAAACATTTTTATGAAAACAATTTATGATGAACAATTCAAGCTGTTGGATATATTACTGATGTAATTGATAATTCTTCCTTTCGTTCAGCTGAACTTAACTAGCATAGTTTTGATCTTGGAATGTTATTTATCAGGAAATCAGTCTTTAGTTATCACGAAATCGGCCGGACCAACAATAGTGCTGATAGGAGTAATATCAGGTACTCTGGCATTTCATACTCACAACGGCTGATTTCGAATGGATGTTCCTCCAGTTTCTTCGTTCGTGTGGAGCCACCTGCGCAACATCCAAACGTCGTCCGTGGAATGGAAAACCGAGCTGAGCGCCTTCCTGGAGGACAGCTTCCTCAAGGAGAAATTCAACACGGAGTCGCTCAAGTACTCCCGCAACTACGAGACGTCCACCTTCTTCGAGTCGCTGGCGACGGGCGCGGCGGCCGAGGCCAACGTGGTCTTCTCGCCCGCGTCCTACCTTCCGCGCTCGGCCTCCGTCAACGTGACGGTGGAGGTGTTCGGCCAGCCGCTCAACCTGCTGGAGGTGGGGGCGCGAGCCGAGGGCTTCGAGAAGATGGCGGAGGACGCGTTCGGGCCCGGCGGCTACTACCCCGACGCCTCGCTGCGCGACCTGCTCGCCAACCTGCGCGCCAACAAGGAACCCGAACTGGAGAACAGCCTAGCGCGCCTCGCCGGCGCCGTAGGCGACAAGGCCAGGTCAGACACACTGTTCAGAATAGTATGGAACGTCTATTACCACACAGTTCAGTAAACGTCACGGTTATGTTTGGTAACGGTCAGCGTATTGGACTGTTATACCCATGTAGGTGGGATCAAACCCGATCGAAGCCTTGGATTTTTAAGGGCGAAAAAGTCCTTCCTACGCCTTCCTTCAGAGGGGAAGTAAAGCCGGCTGTCCCATGTTAGTAGATTTATTTGCACGTAAAAGATCCTTAAGCTGACGGATCTGAGCTAAATTCGAATCGCCTATTTCGTTGCTCAAGAAATACCTCTTCTCTCCGCCCGTTGGTAAAAGGAGCGTAGCGAAATTCGCGTGGCCAGACCTAAAAGTGGGCCTGATGGCCCGAGTCTCGCCACATAAAATAAGGCATTCAATACATTCATGTATTAGACCCGTTACATTGAAATTCATTCAATACTTCTATAATCATTAACATCTCTTAGATGTCAGACCTTTACATTCAACCGGTAGGTGGCAGCTGATTTGCAGACAGAATTCACTCAACTTAGCAGTCAGCCGCGTAGGAGATCTTGTCAAAAACCACAGCCATTAAAGAAAAACAATAAAAATAAAAAATACATTTTCTTTGGGTAGGGTACACATCCACTATCTTTAGCCACTACTGTTTGTTCTGATTGTTTTTAACGGACTGGAGAGATTAAAACCCTTAACGGACCGCTGCGCAGGTTGGGCGGCGAGCCACGCGCGTCGCTGCACGCCCGAGTGTTCGGGCAGGAGGTGGCGTTCTCCACACTGGGCGACGCCCCGCCGCCCTTCCTGCAGGCGCTGCAGGCCCTGCGTCACGGCATGCCCCTGGGCGCGCTTCTGCAAGATGCCACCGTCGACTACACCAAAGCCTTCTCACTCGACGACGCCAAGTATACCGTGCCCACCATCATCGGTAAGCCAATGCGTTTGCCATGTCAAATAACTATCAGGGTATCAGTTGTCACTGTTGTGCTTCTGGATGGGAAGTCATAAGGTTTCACTCCCGACGGTGGCTATATGGATAGCTGTTGAGGTTAGGAGAACTCTAACGCCCGGCTTCTCAGATCGGAGATATTCCGTGGTTTCTTCGATCAACACCAGGAAAATGCCGAGTACCCCAACAAACGGGCCACGGGCCGCGCGCGCTCTTTCCTTTCTCTTCATTGTTCTATACACACCCTTTACTCACACGCACGAGCGCGCGCGCACACACACACACTTACATACACATCACTACCTCACAGGGAGACCGGTCGAAATCTTAAGAGCTTGTCTCGGCTGCGGCGGTGCCCCGCTGGTGGTATATGCCTGGTTGGGCAAAGGCCCACAAGCGGACAGGTAGGTTGGCCCAAGATGTCGCCATCCAGCGAAGGAAGATCACCCACATATCGTGTGAAATAGCATGCTCTACACTTAGGGGCCTAATGGCCTTGACAGTTGACGCGCCCGGAATCACCAACAAATAAATAAACTGATTTGAAGGTTCAACACTTTCCCCACGTGAACATGAAGCATATCGACTACGTGAATATGGAGACAAAAAAAGCATATTTTTCAAATAACTGTATCCCAAAATACTTTGTTTTCGAACAGTTTGTTAAAAATAAATAAATAAAACATGAATTTATTGAATTTAATGAGGAAACTTATTCAAGGGGAACATAGCTCAAGGAGGCCTATATTGACCAATTACTTATAAAATACAACGTGTGACCTCATTAATTTCCAGGACTCTTCCGATAACACCAGAACACACGTTGTGAAAAACGTAACCCTTTAATATGTTTCGAAGTAATCCCCATCTCCCGTAATACACCACTGTGCTCGGCTGCATAATTTGTGGAAACAACTTTTAAAGTCCTCGTTCGGAAGGCTCTTCAATATCGACGCGACGTTCTCCTTGATGTCTTCAACATCCACAAAGCGTATACCTTTGATCCCAGTTTTGAGTGTGGGAAACGAAAAGACGCACTACTGTATGTGCAGTGTTTATAAGCAGTACTGTATGTGCGGGGTGGTGCGGTGTTTGAAAGCACTTTTGCACGTGCGGGGTGGTGATGGCGGTGGTGCGCAGGGCTGCCGCTGCGTCTGTCGCTGCGCGCGGGCGGGCTGCTGCGTGTGCGCGGCTCGCTGCGCGTCAACGCCAGCCGCGAGGAGGGCGTGCGCGCGGCGGCCGAGCTGGCTCCCAGCGCGTCGCTGGGCGCCGACGCCGCCATGACGCTGGGCACGCGACGCACGGCGCGCGTGGGCGTGCGCGTGCGCCAGACGGCGCGCGCCGTGCACTTCGCCGGCGCCGACGCGCACGTGCTGCCCGGCCGCCGGGTGCATCTGGCGCTGCGAGCCCCGACCTCCCGCCTGCAGCTGCTCGAGGCGCGCTCCGACCTGCTCTTCGTGCAGGTACGCCACGCGTGCGCCGTGGATCGAATTAACATATGAGTTATGAGAAAAAAATTGTTAAGAAAGTTGGAACTGTAATTGAGAAGTATCTAATCAAAACGCATATTTCCCACGTCTTGTTTTGTAGCGCGGATGTTTGTCTTTAGAAGCCCCTGGCGCCTGCTTACACGACTTCTCCTGAGCAAGTATACCTATATGGTAGTTTGCCATTGCTTTCCCTAGGGGCGCTAGTGAGCCAATTTTGATCTTTGATTTGAGTACCAGATAGTGTAGGCTAAGATATTCGCAATCTTGCCCAGTAATTCAAATCGAAACTCTGATTGCTGCTAAATTGCTAAAAGGTTTAATGGTTCTTTGGCCAAGTGTCTTTCGTGGGATCTATTTTACATGCCGACAAGCGTCCGCATACATGCCGTCGATTTTTGGCATCTCCAAAAATCCCCCGACGTTGACCGGGTATGTACCTGCGAACTTGGAATCAATAGCCTGATAACCACTGCACCATCAAAGCCGATCTATTGTTCAGTGGTGGAAAAAATTGAGTTTGATGTTAAATTGTCTATTTTTGTAATACGCCCTCACGCTCCAGCTTTCATATTTCTTCAAAATTAATTGCGTAATGAGGAAATAAAAGAATAATTAAAATGCGTAATAAAGAAATATCAAAGCACGGGCGTGTAGGACTCGTGCTTTGCGTTATTAAAAATTAAAGGATTGCATATCGAACTGAAGATTTTTCATCAGTGGACAATATGCCATTTGATTAGTAGCTCCTCATTTATATGTTGCTTTTTGGGTCGATTGTCCGTCTGTGCTGGATAGCTAACAGTGTCTTCCAAGCCTGTTCCTAGTTAATACCCACGACCCTTCAGGCACAAGGCCGCTACGGCTCTTCAGCCTTAGCGGCCTCAGGCCGGCACCGAAGGCACAATGGCAGAGCCGGAACTGGCGTTCTCGGCCGTAGCGGTGTGAGCGCGCTGGCGTCGTGACCGAAGACGAAGCGTAGGGGCCAGCCGGGCGTGCACGTGTTGCAGGGCGAGCGCGAGGAGGCGGCGCCGCTGCAGGTGCAGCAGCGGAGCCTGGGCGCGTGCTCGGGCGCGACGCTGGAGCGTGCGCTGGGCGTGCGCGCCTGCGCCAACGCCACCTTCACGCGCGGCGCGCTCTACAGCAACGCGCCGCCGCCGCTATTCCCGCTGAGCGGGCCCGCGTCGCTGCGCATCGCCCTCGACAAGACCGACTCCTTCGACCGCTACGAGCTGCAATACGACATGGACGCCGACGACAACGGCGTGCGCGGACTCAAGGTAACCGTCGCGTGGCCGCAAGCAGCTAGAGCCCGCGTAAGCACGATGACGTAGCTCCGCCTCGTAAGGAGCGTATCAGCAAGGCCTATATAACAGCCTGGTCTTCGCGTGGGAGTTGGACGAGTTCTACTCGCTAGCTCATGTACGGACCTTTTGTACCTTCGTCGGTTTTTTATCGGCTCACTCTGCCCTGCCGATCTTTCTCCCCTCATTCGGTTTAATTTGACCCAAACTGGCCTGACGATCTCTTTTCTCTTCAGACTCAGACAGTTCAGATCGGCTCTAACTGGCCCTGCCAACACTCCTCCGCCCCGCTAATCCAGTCCGACCATTCGTGGTCCTGCTAGTAGCTCCGTACCCTCTCTCCACACCGCCGCGCACTCTCAAGGTTTACCAACCTGTCCGATGGCCATTGCGAAATCACTCGTCGAGGTTGGGCTGCGTCACGTGCCGATGCCCGTGTAAGTTACATCGCTCAATAACTATTGTTTGCCATCACCTGGGTCACCTCTGTTCTTATTTCCTCCTGTCGCCTGCCCGTAGGCCTGTCGGAGAATAGGAAACGGCCTGGGGTCCCCTTCTGTCCCTCCCTTCCCTTCCCTGCACGTTGTACCAGACCCTTCCTTTACAACAGTGATGTCTGGTATTAGAAGGAACCCTCGCTTCCTTTCGAGAATCAGAGTAACAGAATATTTACGCAAACAAAAGTGAAAGATTTTATAGTTTATACGGTATATAAATGTACTCTGTGTGTTCTTGAAACACAAAACTATCCAAGTCAAGGGCTTCTTTAGAAAATTGTCCATTTCTGCATCTCGGTTTTTCTAGTTTTACGGACCAATAAGACACTTCTGCGTCGCGCTGCCAAATGTTGCGTTGGGAAATTGGATTAGTGTTCAGTGAATTGATTTCCAAAAATAATTTAATTGTAAAGCTGAATAAGAGAACTTTCTCTTCGCGAAAAATTGTTTCATAAACGTATGTGATTTAGGAAACAAGTTTATTTGCCCTTTTAAAATAATCATATCGTCAGGAAGAACTAATGCATTATAAATACTGGATTTTAGAACCATCGGCTTAAATCTGAAGCATTTTAACGATCTTCTGTGAAAACAATATACCAAAGTCATCCATCAAATGAGAGCAGCGTAACAGAAAATTCAGGTCACAGGACGTGTGTATACTAGTTATACATCCACAAAACATCTCTGGTCTGAAGCCAAATTAGGTCTGGAAGCCAAAGTCTTAATAGTTATTTAAATAAACAAACATTTTTCAACATGAAGAGTTGATGTTTATGGGAATTAATTTGAAATGTAGTTCTTAAGCGTAGAAAGCAATTTTTATGTGCAATTTGTATGCGCTAACGGCGGCGCGTGTGTCGCGCAGGTGCGCCTGGACACGCCCGGGTCGCGCGCGGACCGCGCCGCACCCCGCGGGCGCGGCCTTCTCCGTGCGCCTGACGCTCGCCCCGGGCGCTCGCCTGAGGCGAGCGTGGACCGTGGCGCGCAACGCGCCAGCGCCGCCCGCCGCCGACGCGCAGTCTGCCGCGTGGGCGGCGCGGAAGAGCTGCTCGCGTCTGTGCGGGCGTCGCTGGCGCTGGGAGGGCGGCCGGCGACGGCGCTTGCGCTGCGCCCCGAGCTTGAGCGCCCGCGCCGCCGGCGCCCGCCCGCTGCGCCTCGCGGCAGACCTCGGCCTGCAGCCCGGCGCCAGGTACCACGCCCACGTCGTGCTGCGCGGCGCGGGCGAGCCCGTCCTGCTCTCGGGTGAGTCTTCTTCTCGCACGCGGGGCGTTGCGTACCGCTCTTGGGAGGCTACAGTGGCGCACAGGGTCTTTAGAAGGATTTGGATACAGATTCAAGAGTAGCTGAAGGTGTGGCGAGTCAAAGTCAATGTCAGTGCAGCTGTACTTTTCACACTGGGACCCAGGTCATGGGGCTAAGAAGGTGATGAAGGGGGGTGGCAGCTGTGTCGACTCGCCTCAGGCCCCGAATGAATTGGGGACCCGATTTTTTTTCATTCAAAATAAATGAAAAATAATTTATCTCTAATCCAAAAAACGCGTGGAGAAATGAAATCTGTTTATGAATTGGGGGAGGAGGACACTTTTGGGGTTTGAACTAAGGGGCCCCCGAGGATGAATTGCTCGAAGCCCCTGGTTTTCACTTGGCGCCTGTGGTAGCGCAACTAAAAAAATATGAATTTTGAATGAATGCACTTTAAAGAATTGCAGATTGGTCTACCTTCCAGTAGCAGTATATCTTACAGTAGAATATTTCTCAAACAATTTATAGAAGTGCGAATGAGAGTATGATGCATTTCAAAACAAAATGAAACTTCATTCTCATTTCTCTCACGATCTGATTTTTTGAGTTGTCACTGTTGCAGCCCACGAACGATATATATTGAAAGCTTTTTCTTTCAACTTCCTTTGCTTGAATTGTAGGATGGAAATATATATTTATTCAGGTTAATTAAAAAAAGTAAAAATAAATCTTGAAAAATTTTAAATATTTGATATTGTTTCATTAATTTTACAAAGAAACCTTCGGAGAAGTTTCTTTTTATTCTATAAGTTTGATTTTACACTCACGAGCGACAACAGAAACTTGGATGTAGAGTCTCTCACTCGAGATCATTCTACATATACTTGACCGGCACTAAAACAGATTTCACGTAAATCGTGCATATTATCGCAAACGGGATTTCAAGCGCCTGGCAATCAGCGGTGCAGGACCAGGTCACTGTGACGTGCGTTCCTCGGGTGAACGGAGGTGGTGATTGGGTATTGGTGCGCAGGCGAGCTGCGCACGCAGGACGGCGGCTACAGCGTGCGCGGGGAGGTGTCGTGCCCGCTGTTGAAGGGGTCGCTGGCCGGCAACGTGACCGCGGGGCCCGGCGAGTGCGCGTCCGACCTGCGCCTGGACTACGCGGCGGCCGACGGTCGCCAGCACTCCGCCGCCTTCCACCACCACTTCGTCTCGGGCTTCGGCCTCATCGCGCTCAACGCCTCCACGCAGGTGCGCCAGCGCCTCCAGGCTCACGACGACAATTGAATCGTTTATTTCAGAAACCCGTCAAACGACAAATTCCTCATTTCCAGAATAACAAAAAAGTCTCCCGATTTATCTGATTTCAAAATATTTTTATTTATTAATGCAGTCGGTAAATTAATATTTCTCATATAAATATACATGAAATGACGTGTCTATCCTCTTGGAACAATAATTTTTATTTATTAAAGATGTTGATAAATGAATATTTTTCATATAAATATGCACTAAACGGTGTATCTATCTTCTAGGAACAATAATCTGTCGCTAATGCGTGTGATAGATTTTGGCGTTTGGCGGGTTTCTGAAATAAACGATTCTATTGATGTCATAGCAGGGCCTCTGACTGGGGTGCCCCAGGGTTCCACTTCCGACGGTGGCAGAATTTGAACTCTAGCTTGATAGATAGGTTGAATTCAGTCTCCATCTGGATGAGAATTATAGTGGCCGGTTTCTCTGATCGGTAGTTTACCGTGATTTTCCCAATTAATACCGACGAATGCTGGAGAAGTACCCAAACAAACGGGCCACGGACCACGCCTGATCCTTCCTCCTCCTTGTCCTATTCTCATCCTTTACTCACACACTACCGCAGACGCCGGGAGACCGCTCGGAGGCTTAGAGCTTGTCCCGCCTGGGGCGGTGCTCCGTTGGGGGAGATGCCTGGTTGGGGAAAACTCCTCTAGCTGACGGGTAGGTCGGCGCCACATCTCACCCTCCAACGTGGGGAGATCCGCCACCGCAATCCGATCTCGCGATAAATATATCCCCTTTAAATCCAGAAGTAATTTCTAGGGAGCGGATTTTGATGACTGTCTACACCACGTATGAGGATTTTTTCCTAAACTTAGGAACTGGATTTATCCACTTTTTCGATACCAGGGCCCTGTAATAAAAGTTTTTGTGCGAAAATGTCGCCGTTTTCTCACACATCATTACATAACTTTCTCTGTACTGCGTAAGTGGTAGCGAAAAAATAAATATCACATTTCATTAAAATTTGTCCTCTTCTAGTTACCTACTGCCATAATCTAACATCAGTGAACTATTGCTTAACCCGCATTAAAACAAATTTCCATTACAAGAATTCCTAAATATTTTTCACGCAAAAACTAAAATAGTAGGTGCTCTATGAGTCCCCTACATCAATTTGTACTTAGTATAAGTAAATGTTAAGATAACGAAAAGTTAGGTTTAAGTCGACAAAATACAAATGAAGAAGTAAATAATATTAAACTATGTAAACATCAACAAAAATTAAAAAAAATAATGACCTTTGAAGTTGAAGCCCGGATTTGCTCAGAAGCACTAATCATTGAATTTTCTTGCACTGTGCCGGTAGCCGGCCGCGAAGTGTACTCGCGTGTGTGTGTTTCCGCCAGGCGTCGGATATCCCCGACGCGGGGGCGCGCATGACATTTCATTAAAATACGCCCCCTACTAATGCCCTTACCAGTTGTCGCATCTTCGCTTACTGTGGCGGTGTCCGAGTGCGGAGTGTCCACGTGCATGTGTGTTTGTGCTGGCAGGCGTCGGAGTTCCCGGGCGCGACTGCGCGCCTGCAGTGGTCCGCGCGGCGCGAGGATGGGCTGCGCGAGCACCGCCTGCGCTGGGAGCGCGACGGCCGCGTCTGGAAGAGCCTGCAGCGCCTGCGCCTGCAGCGCCAGGGGCCCCGCGCGCACCTGCAGGCGCTCGCCGCCTTCTCCTGCCCGCAGCGGCGCATCGACTACAAGATCGACCTCGAGCACAAGGTACTTGTTTCGCGTGGGTTGGCGATATGGAAATAAGCTCTTGAAATACAAGTAGGTGTGTTCCTAGTCGGTTCGATGTGAATGAGTTGTCTTGTGAATTATAGAAACGAGTGTTTTTTCAACATCTTAAATTAACTTTTATGTCTCATAACTCTATGTTAACTATATGTTGTCTCTAGTCAATTTTCAAAGACAGTTTTATAAAAGTACAAAATTGATAAATGAAGTTTTTTGTAATAAATAATTGTAAAAAGAAAGAAAATAAAAAAAGATTATTACAAATGTCTTTGAAAATGGGCCTGAGACAACATATAGTTTACGTAAGATTAACTTTATCTAAGAGATACAGTGCAGCGTTCGTTTAAGACCGCAACCGATGGAGGCTTAAATCGCTTCTCCATTATTCTGCTAAATATTGCGTTTAGTGAGCATTTTCTCTCCTATGTTAAACTGTTTCCGAAAACAATTGAATTATGTTTTCAACTATAAGTCTTAATGTGAATTCTTGCTGTATATAAAAAATGTATTTCTTGGAGTAACCTTGCTTTGCATGTAAGTTCATTATTGCGAGTCGGTTAAACATTTCGTATCGATTACAACAGAAACAAAATATTCTTCATTCTTAGATATCATACGAGAATTCATATATTATATTTGTTATCAAGAGATAGAGACATCCCTACTTCAAAATTTTAGAATTTTAAATACTCGAAATGAAGAATGGTATCAATTCACAATGTAAAATGTAGAAATGCATCCTTTTTGCAGGAGACATAGATCACTTTGATAAACCTAAAAATAACATGAATTAAAATATTGGCAATATTTTGTGCATAAAATATGGTCAGTGAATAATTAAAAATACATTTTCAGCTATAAATGAGTTTGCATTGAATAATAATAATAATAATAATAATAATAATAATAATAGTAATGTAATAGTTAATTCATCCAGTCGAAATTTACTATCAAGCCTTCTTAACATTCACCGTAGTAAACCTAGTGTGTTTTAAATTTATATATACTTAGATTAATACTTCATTTTAGCATTTTTATTTTGACAGAATCACTTAATAATTTTATAAAATTTAAAAAATATTGTATAAACAGACGAATATTTTTCACAATTCTTCATAACATGACCGCCACCTGGTACCAAACCTAAACTAACTTTGTGCAAAGAAGTGTCGCTGCTGCGCCGTGCATCTCCCTGAGGTTGTGTGTGTGTGTGTGCGTGCGTAGGCATCGGAACGCAACTGGAGCTCGCGCGCCGAGGCGCTGCTGGGCTGGAAGCAGCGCTACGTGGCCGGCGTGCAGCTGTCGCGCTCCCCGGGCCCGCATGTCGTGCTCAGCGCCGAGGCCGCCACGCCCAGCGTGCGCGCCACGCTCACCGGCTGCGTGCAAAAGCGCAAGCACATGATGGTCAGTACACCCCCTTTACCGACAGCAACTACGTGATGGTCGCTACCCACCTTTGAGCAAAGCCCACACTCACTGGTCAGTGGCCACCTTTGAGCAAAACACGCACGTGTTGGCAGGAAGCCACTTTTGAGCTAAATACTCACGTGCTGGTCAGAAGCCACCTTTGTGCAAAGCCCACACTTCCTGGTCGGTACCCACCTTTGACCGAAGCACGCACGTGTTGCCATGAAGCCACCTTTGAGCTAAACACTCACGTGCTGGTCCGTACCTAACTTTGAGCAAAACTCACACTTGCTGATCAGTACCCACCTTTGAGATCAGCAACCACGTGCGTGCGAGTACCCACCTTTGAGTGAAGCACGCACATGCTGGTCAGACATCTTTGAGCACGCGCACGCATGCTGGTCAGTACCCATCTTTGACCTATGGATCCGCACGCTAGTCAGTATTCCCCTTAGACAAATCCCCCTTTTTTCTTGTCAGTATCCGCCTTGGAGAAAAGCACACACGTGTTGCTAGCACCCCGATGTGGGTAAGTACTCATCTCTGAGAAAAGCACTCACCTGTGGTCACTACCGACCTTTGTACAAAGCATGTACGTGCTGGTCAAAAAGCACTTTTGTGGAAAGGACACATTTTATGGTCAGTATCTACCTTTAAGCAAAGGACCTATCTTTGAGGAAAAACACTTCCTGGTCAGAGACCACCGCTTATCAAAGCTTCCAATTGCTGGTCAGTTTCTGCTTTTGAGCTAAGAACCCTCATGCTGGTCAGTGCCTACCTTTCATGCTAAGGGCCCCCATATGCTGGTCAGAACCCGTATTTGAGGTAAGGAGTCTCAAGCTGGTCCAAACCCACCATTGGGGACCTCACGTGTTCGCAGTACCCAACTTTGAGCTAAGGACCCACATACTGGTTAGCACTTACCTTTAACAAAGGCCCCTACTAGCTGCTCAGAACTCACCTTTCAGCAAAGAACTCACTTGCTGAGCAGAATCCATTTTTAAATAAGGACCAACATGCCGATTCGTAAACACCATTGATCTTAAGACCCGTATGCTGGTTACGACCCGTGTTTTTGCTAAGGATTCACATGATGGGACTAGCGGGAAAACCCTTAAAATGGCAACACTAACAATGATCATTCACATTGTTTTAACAAGTTGTCTGCATCCTAAGGCTGTGGTACGATATAATTACTGCTGTGGGTAATATTTTTATTTCACATATTATCATTCGACGTTTCCTTCTCAATTAAAAAAACCGTACCTTATGTCACCAAGACGTCTAATTAAAAAACCGTTCCGTCTGTGACTAAGACCAAAATGTAATATATATGTAAAATGGAGGTAGCTTCATGCAGCCGTACCGCTCTTCAAAGCGCACAAACTTGTTAAAAACGTGGCGGTAAAAGAGAGTGAAAATAACTTCAATATAGAACCCAACTCCAAACGTTCCTCAGAACCTGTCCTACTCAGTTGAATTGTTTTAATAAAGTATCTCATTCTAAACATTTGGGCATAATAATAATACCTCGTGTCTGGGGGACCCGAAAAACGGCTGTAGATCCAGAAACGCATTTTCTGTTTATGGGCAATAAGAAAGTTAAAACAAATGTAAATTTTCTCAGTAACGTGTGTTACGGGTGTCCGTTTTTCACGATGCGCAAATTTAAAACATTTCGTTCATGAAAGGACATTTTACTGCACAAATGATGACGTATTAGCATTTACGGCACAAATGATTGCGTCATCACAGATTCAGCCAGTCGCAGCGAGAGAACCGTGGGGAGGTAACGGAAAATGGAACAGCCGGCCACCGTTTTCTCACACAGGTGTCAAATATCCAAGACGTCACAGGAAAGTTTTTTTGCAAAATTAAGTTTCTCTTATTAATTCATAATGATATTATAAAAATAACGTAAGCAACACGCTTATAATGTTGCATTATTGTATTTCTATAGACTTTAAAACTAGCTCTTAACACCGCTTTGTTTCCAGCACAATTCTCACTGAACAAAATAAATCTTAACATTACAAACTAATCGCATGAACTACAATTCTCGTAACAACGTTCAATTGTCACCTACTAACGTCGAACAAAGAGTTATCCTGCGATAATTTACTCATCGAGAGCGAGCTGCAGCGGCCGGGTGGGCGGCGCAACAAGCTGTCGCTGACAGGCACGTAAAAGCACGAAGGCTACATATTGACGTCGAACGTAGAATTATCCTCCGTTAACTTACGCATCGTCCGACATTGCACTTTATCTCTGCTGCTAGGGCACGCCAATTCTAGTAGATGACAGTAGCCAAGGGCTTAGCACCAGTTGTTCCCCAGGGTTCCTAGTAGGTTATCCTTCCAGATACTCGCGGTGTCTCGAATTGCCTAACCTCCGCGCCACCACGGAGCTTCGTTACGAAAATAGGACAGCAGCACCGGCTATATTTTAATTTTAACGCAGGAATTTTGGGTAATTTTCAATCCGTGAGGATGTTTTATGCGGGTGTCTGTGGCAGGGTGAGCTGGAGGGCGAGCTGCAGCGGCCGGGCGGGCGGCGCAGCAAGCTGTCGCTGACGGGCACGTACAAGCACGAGGGCGCCGGCGGCGCGGCGGGCGGGCCCGAGGTGCACCAGGTGCAGCTGGAGCTGCGCGGGGCGCTGAGCGCGCGTCTGCTGAGCCATGTGGCGCTGGGAGCGGACGGCGTGGAGCACTCGCTGCGCCTCGCCGCCCCCGCCGACGACGTCTCGCCCGCCTACGCCCACCTTCTCACCTACCGCACGCTCGACGAGTGAGTACTGCCCCACGCGCGCTGCCAACGGGCACAGGTGGGAGTCGTTTCTTTACTGTGCCACGCATGTACACGCACGTAAATATGAAATCGTTATTCAAAAATATAACCAAACCAATTTAGCTTTATTAAATACATGCAAGTATGAGAAACATATATGCAGTAGTCAACCTAAATGATGGATGAAGAAAATTAATAGTCAAAATATTAACATATCTATTTACATTTATCTTTAAAATGTAACGGATCAAACCTGTCAGACAATTCATTTTTTTTCTAGAAATGACGAATACAAATTACTTCAATATAAATAGCTTACAGCAATGAACACATCTTAGAGGTAGTGACAGTATTTGTATATATGACCTTCTTTTCTGCAGCCCGTTGGATCTCAGACTGATCAATGTCTTGAAGATATTTTCCAACTTTCTTTCCTGTTGTGGTATGGAGGGTAGTCATTGTGTTTTACCAAACAATTCATTTATGTGAGGGCACCATTGGTTTTATATGGCCTCTAAATAATGGTCGTGAATAATTGTACCATTAACTGTGTATACATTTCCAATAACATTACACTTCATTCACAAACATTACACTTCAAACAGTTACATTTGTCAGGTGCTTCTCAGGACTCATTACAATCCGTTAAGACAGAGAAAAAATATTAAATCTAAGAATTTGGTCACCTCTGTTTAATGCCGAAACGAAAACTTCAACGGTGCAGGTCACTCATGCAAGGTGTAACAGAAACCCAATGAGTTATTGTCTCATAAGACGCTGGAACGAGTTGATTTCATGAACACCATGGTGGCCCCAACTTAGGGTCGAGCCGATTTCGCTCGTTAGAGTGAAAGTCTATCATTCTGACGGGAAAAGACGCCTCAGATGTGAGGTAGACAGGCACTGTATGCGCGCGTGTGTGTGGTGTGCAGACGCCACATCGTGGACGGGTCGGTGTCCATCGCCGGACGCAACTTCAGCGGCAGCGTGGAGGCCATCCGGAGCCCGACAGAGCACTCTACCGTCGTGCGACTGCCCTTCAGCTCGGTCATCGTCATCTCCTCCAAGGTACGAGATCCCGCGCGCCTTTAAAAACAAACACGCGTCTCCTATGACCTAGACCAGTAGTTTTTGAATTGGGGGAGGCGCACCTCTAAATGTAGACTTCTAAGAAAGAAGAAAATTCGTTTCCCACTCACAGATAACAAGGAATATTCTTATTAATATAAGTGACTTAAGGAAAGTGTATTACATTTTGGAATTTTGTTAGTATTTGAACTGAGTTGGAGCATTGTATTGTAAAGAAGAAAAGGGTGTAGGCTTCGCCATCCTTTCTCTCTTCACCCAAAACTAATACATTTTGTGTTTGCTGCAGTTCCTAATGAGTTCTCCTTCTGGTCTTGAGTCGCAAGACTACGACGCTCTGCTCTTGGAAGTGTCTTGGGACAAGCAACTGCATCCCAGCAACTACGTGGCATTCAACACCACCTTCAACGGCGCCCACTCGCGCGTGCTGCTCGACTACCCCAACCAAAACATCCTGTGGGAAGTAATTAGCGAGTGAGTAATCAGACTAGCTTTGTACCACGTTGGACTAACTAGTTACGAATTTTATCGGTGACATGAGTTTAATCTTTTTTCGTCTTTTCTGTTCGCAGTCCCGGACATTTGTCACTAGATTTTGGTTGGAATAAAGACCGTAAACTTAAATCAGAAATTCGATGGATTCTGGAAACCTATGAGGGGATGTTTTCTGCATGGATACATACACCTTTCAAGGGACTGGAAAAACAAAATTTCATGTTCAACTACACATCCGACGGCCAAGAGTTGATTCTACATGTAAGTATCAAGAAGTTTTCAATTTGAATTGATCGGTAAATCGATTATTATTTATTTTAATTGTATGAATCATCCCATCGTTTCAAATCTTCAATTTCTTATGTTATAAATTATTTCTACACAAGAAAGTTGATAAAAGTAATAGCAATAAATAATATTATTGTTAATAATAATTTAAAATAGGGCTTGGACATTTTGTCATTTAATTTAATAATATAATTCATCCTCAATTAGAAACATATGTTGTTTTAACATAAAAAACTAAACATATTTTTTTTATATTTGAAAGTGGAAATTTGAGTTTTTGAAAGTAGTTTGTTTTACGATCAGCATTAAGAAGATTTGTTCGCTGTTTGTTTTATTCGTCAAACGTCTTCTATTTGGTTCTAACATCATCAATTCTTTATGAAAGTCATTGAGTTTCTCCATTTGTCCAAAAACTCAGACGAGTTAACAAAAACATTAATTTATAGATGCAGATATGAACATATAATGTATAGATGCAATGTAACAATGTAATCATCCCATTGACATTAAAATTCCAGAATACCCAGAGAAATTATTGAACTTTATCAAATGTATATAAGCGTGCAACTTTTCGAAAATGTGAATGGTTTCTGCGTAATTTTGTGTCAAATATAAGCAATTTTAAAACATTTTCCTGAAAAGACTTCATTTTTTCTTTACATGTATCCTTGAGTATAGCAAAAGACACTAAATATGGTGCACGTCGCAAACTTGCAAAAATTAACACTGCAAATGTGGAATATTGACGACATAGATTTTTTGGTTCATGAAATGTATTCTAAAAAAATCTGGGCATATAGTTAAGTACATTAAAAAAACAGGTTTCGCGCAATTTTTGCTTGAAAAAAGGCAATTTATAAAAAATTATGAAACTTTTTCTGTAAATTTATTCTCGAATAGAGGAAAGAAATCGTAAAAAGGTAGAGATCTCATTTTCCTAGAATCCTCTGTATTGTTCAAAACTGCAAAACTTTGAGCTGTTATAGAAGCACTAGTTTCACTCACGAAGTTCTATTTTAAAAGGGAAGTTATATATTTCAGTTTCGGCATCGCAGCCAATGGAATAAGTCGCTTAATTCCGAGAAAATATTTGGGTTATCGCTAATGTTTTATGTCGCAAATAATACATGCCGCTGACGGTAGTTTTGTAGTTGTAGGTGGTATACCTGTGAATGAATAAGTTTCCCTCGTGCAACCAGCGGACCAGGTTCGGAGTCTGAATACGTATTTGTACTGTCTCCAATATGTTATGTCGGGGAGAATCCATTCCATAATATTCCTGGTGGTAGTTCCCAGTCGTAGGTGGCGTGAGTGTCCCATACACTCGTGCGCCATGAGTGGGCAACTCTGTGAGAGAGCGTTTACCGCCGAAAAAGTGGGCTCTAGCTACTTCTTTAAAATCATTTTTCAACTCCTAAGGTCACATAGCGACCACTGTAAGTAACGTTGGGGGTCACGGTAACGGTATACGGACACTCACAAACATCCCGGGTGGGATTGGATCCCGTGAACCTTCTGCGTTGGGCTATACAGGTCGGCTAGCTACCATAGCTATCGACTTACTATCCTAACCGGCTATCCAGGCCCATTGTAGCTAGTGTATTGTGTGATTGCGCAGTCGTCGGTGGAGTGCCTGGGGCGGCAGCAGAGCGTGTCGGCGCGGGGCCAGCGGCGGGGCGACGCCCTCAACGCGGTGCTCACCGCCGCAGGGGACATGGCCCCGGAGCTGCACCTGTCGCTGGAGCACGACCCGCACGCGCGTACGGGGTTCACGGCCGTCAGCGACAACAGCCTGCAGGTACGCACGCACCCACACAAGCACGCACGCGTGAGGCGAAGCGAAACTCTGCAATAGCAGTTTCCGACGAGAGAGTCGATGAAATGTTGATGGCCGTCGGTTGGGGGTCAATTGCTGAAAATCAACAGAAGATCGACCGGTGTATTGAAAATACTATGATTACAAACAATATTAATGAATAATACCTTTCAGGCTGGATAACCGTGTTATATTTGACATCCACACAGGAAGGTATTATTAATAATATATCCAGCCGCAAAAGCCTACATTGTTTTATTAATATTAATGAACTTAATAATTGTTTATAATAACTTTATAATAATTCTTTTCTGACACAAATTAACAAAATATTTAGAGTACTAAAAGTGTACAAATTAGCTTTTTTCCATATCCACCGTTTATTCTTGGGAGAAAAGATTTTAAAAATATTAAGAAATTATAACTATCCATTACTCTATCGCATTAGAAAATAATTTCTGCAAAAACCACCGGAGAAATGTTATGAGCACTTCTAAAACACAACTAAAGCATCTTGTAATCATTGCTCTACAATGAAGATTAGAAACTCTACTAAAAAGAGGAAGGGTCTTCGGTTATTGAAAATAGGAATATTTATGGGAATATTGATGTACGAAATTACTTTTATAGCGACTGCTATTATAGCTATAATCTTATGGCCACTTAACACAACCAAGTAGATGAACGAATTGCTGCTGTAAACGGACGGCGTCTGTTTAGGATTTAAGACTCCTCTACCAGTAAATTATTTCACAGTTTGGCTTTCGGTAGGGATTAAACAGTCAGTCGACCAATTCCCTGTCCACCGTCCATTATTGATGAATCAGTCTGCCATTCATGAGAGATTTAACAGTCCGTCACCCGTTAGGGATTTAGCAGTTCTCTGTCCATTAATGTTTTAACAGTTTCCGTCAGTGAGGGATTGATCAGTCTGGCATCCGTTAAGGATTTAACAGTCCGTTAATGATTAAGTCGTCTGCCGTCCGTAAAGAACAATGCAAACAAATGCGCTTTAGGTCTAAGAAACATCATTTCTTGTTGTATGATGTCTTTTTCTTTTAAGAATAGCCTTGCGTGTGTTGGTGCAGGTGTCTTTGCTGGCGACGCGGCGCGGCGACGGGCACATGTCGGCGCTGGAGGCGCACGTGGGCGGGGAGCTGCTGCCGCTGCCCGAGTGCTCGCTCACCTACGCGCACCCTGCGCATGCGCTGTCGGGCAACCTGCGCTGCGGCGGCTTCCTCACCCTCAACTTCGACGCTGACGCCCACCGCCCGAAGGTACCCCTCCCCCCTCAACGCTCGCTCCTACCCCTACTACACACTACTACCCCTCCCCTTCAACACACTCCCTCGATTATACCCCCCTTCAACACACACTCGTATGCAATACACTACCTTAATGGGCCGTACCCCTCTATTGTGTGTTGACGCGCACCTCCCGCGGGTACCCCTCCACCTTGCACACGCTCCTACACCTATTACACACAACTACGCCTCCCCTTCAACACACAGTCGTATGCACTACACTACCTTAGGGGCGGTGCCCCTCTGTTGTGTGTTGACGCGCACTGCCCACGGGTACACCTCTCCCTTACACACGCTCACACTCACTCCACCGTGCGCTGATTCTCACGCCAAAGCGGGGGTTGAACACCGCTACCTCCCGTGATGCAATATGCACTACTCTTTCGCAACTAATGCCTTTCCATCAACTGATATCACTGCAGTGCCTCAGACCGGGCGGTCCTGGGGTTGGAATTCTGTTGGAAAGAAGTTTGTCACTAGCTACATAACTAGGTCAAATTTTGGGAAATTCTAGCGAGCCGCTGCTCTGAGTAGTTTTCTCGAGTCTCGGTGGTTTTCCGCAGTTACTCCTATCTACACCAGGCGAAAGCAGTTCTCTAGAGAAAATGGGTCAAGATCCTCACGCGATCTTCCTTTCCTCTTCATTGTCCTACTTAACTCATCCCATACTTACTCACTCTTATTCTACATGCATTATACATGCCAGAGAGCAGTCGGGAGCATAGAGCTTGCCCAGGCTTGGGCGGTGCCCCTCTGCTAGGAGGTGACAGGAGGGGAAGAATCCCTATACGCCGGTTAGCACCGGATCTCACCTTCCTACAAGGGACTTCACCATCTCATGTGATAAAAACACGCACTACACATACGGGTCTAATGTCCCTAGCGGTTGACGTTCTCGAAAAAACGTATCAATCAATGAACGAACGACCTTCGTCGTTGGCGCGGCCGGCAGCAAAAGAAAACCTCCTCGTGTGCAGGGCAACTTCTCCGCGTGGATGCGGCAGCTGGGTGACGCCTCCTTCGACTTCGACGCGACCAACGACCGCAACTCGGCCGTGTTCGACACGCGCGCCGCCAGCGGCGCGCGCGCGCTCTACGTCAGCCTGCAGCACGCGCGCGAGGGCCCGCGCAACTTCTCGCTGGCGCTGGACACGCAGTGGTGGGGTCGCGGCGTGCGCGCCGACATCTCCTCGCGCAGCGGCGCAGCGGAGACGCGCTACAGCGGCGCGGTGAGCGGCGAGCTGCAGATGGCGCTCACGCACGTCACCTACCGCCCCGCCGACCGCTCGGCCCGCTTCTTCACCGAGGTCTCACTCCCGGGCGGGGTGGCCGCCAACCACACCTTCCAGGTGAGCGCGCTCGTCGCTTTCGATGCGGGGCAGGGCCCCTCTGTTGAGTGGTGACCCCCTCACACTCCCTCCACTGTGCGCTGATCTCACGTCGCAGCGGGGGTGGAACACCGCTACCTCTCGTGATGTAACATACACTACTCTTTCGCAACTATTGCCTTGCCATCAACTGATATCTCTGCAGTGCCTCAGACCGGGCGGTCCTGGAGTTGTAATTTTGTTGGAAGGAATTTTGTCACTAGCTACATAACTAGGTCAAATTCGTCTCTCGTCGCTTTCGGTCAATGGAATTTTCTCCCTCGTTGGGTTCAAGGTATAAAAAAGAGGAACATTCGTTTTCAGATTAATTGATTTATTTAGTATATAAAGTATTAAAAATGAAGTTTATATGCATGGGAGGTGATTTCCGAGAGTGGTATTTCGAGAGGCTTAATCCCCCAGGTGGGTAAAACATCGTGATGTATAATATTATATTATTATATTCACTCTTTTAACCCTAGATTTCAAAGGCGTCATGTACCAATCAATATTACAAAAGCGTAGTCTGGCAGGCTACGTTTGAAAAAAATCAAAAAAACTCATTTTTACAACGAAACACTAAACCTAATGGATTGAATATGTATGATATGACGTTACAAAATACATTTTAAAGGGGTGCATGCTAAATATGTGGTTCTCAAAGCAGACACTTTCTTAGTGCTGCCCACACGTGGCTTTTGAGAAGAGCTCTGCAGAAGTATCTCATCTCGCCACCTTTATTTTGATCGCCATCGTCCCATTAATATTTCTGAATGTTCAGAACAACACTTAAATGCTAGAAGACAAGGATTTTGTACTCATTATTCCCAATAGTAATCAATGAATCATCAAAAGTATTACTGGTTTAACTACAAAGGCGTAGTCTATAGAATGGGGCGTGTTAAAAATAGCGTATATCGGAAATAGGCACGCATGCATTTATTTCTCTGGCCAGTCATAGAATGAAGGTGCCTAGAGTTCCAGAAATGTGGAGTGAGGGGAAGGGGGTGGGGCAAGCTTTCGGCACCAGTTGTATCGTCGCCTTTGTAATCTAGGATTAAAGTAATTTTAGGAATAACATTGAGTGAAAATAAATAAACGCACACGACTGTTGTAGTTATGATACTGATGTAGCATGTTATTTTTATAATAATATTAAAATAAAAGGGATAGAAAAATAGGACAGCCCACATCATGGCATATGTGAAATGTAACTTCAAATTAACTTCTCCCCATAGCACGTCACACACAGTTTTTAACTGTTTTAATGTAAATAAATATCAAATAAATAAAAAAATAATTAACCCTCAATAACTACGGCATATGAAACAAACCGTTTGGCCGTTTTCAATGAAAATGGGTGAAGATGCCACGTGTATTGCAAAGCCTCGTGAGCACCCGGGCGACTGTTGCAGGGCCGCGACCTGCTCAACTGGGAGAGCACGGTGCAGGTGTCGTCGGGCAGGCGCCAGGGCTCGCTGCAGGTGCGGCAGGTGCTCAACCACACGGACTTCCTGCACCGCTGGGACGTGGCGTCGAACGCGCGCTCGGCCCGCGCGCTGTTCGCCCTGGGCTTCGGCCCGGACGGGTACCCGCTGCAGGTGCTGCTGCAGGGCCCGCAGGGCGAGCCCTTGGGCCTCGAGGCGCGCCTCAGCCTGCAGCCGCTGCTGCGGCTCTCCTACCCGCCGCACCGCGCTTGCACTTCAGCGGCCGCATCGATCTCGACAACCGTGAGTCACGTGACTGCATTATATTTCTTATTCAAATCTGGAAATGCATACGGCCAAGCTGCGAGAGATGGTGTAGGTACTCGAGCATTGCCTCCCACCCACCACCCACCCACCCACCAACTTTCCTTGTGAAACACGTATTAAAATAAAATTCTAAAATACATCGCTAGAAAACATTGCGTTAAAGTCGAAATTGAATGAATTGATCTGAATTTTCGAAAATTGCATATTGAAAAATATCTCTAAAGATGCTACGCTAGTTCAATATTTGAAAATATGTTTATAATAGTTTAAAACGTCAGCGTCGCCACTCTCAGATAGTGTTAAGTATCGGCTATGAAAACGAAATATGGCTAAGTGCTTCCTTATCAAAAGTAGTTTTATTTTCTTACTATATAGACAGATTTTTATAAGAATGGGCCCAAGTGACAGTTCGCTAAACAAGTGAACATCACGTGTAATTCAGAGAGGTACCCCTCCGCGCGGCAGCTGTTCAGACACCCCCCATCGTAGTGTTTGTTTACGGCTCCCGTGAAGACATCGCTATACAGAAATTCAAGATTTTCGGTAAGGTATATGCACGTACGCGAGTACAGGAAATATTGAAATTTAATTACGTATGTGGAAGACTGCCTGAACATTCTCTCATATTCAGTAAAATAAAATTGCCACTAATGCAAATAGAACGAAAACTGATTTTTTCAGGATACGTTTAAATATCTTTTCTGGTCGTTTTACAACGAATTGCTCATGCATTCTTGTAGTGAAGAGGATGGTTAATTTATAGTTATTTTACCCCGACTATCAATATTTAGCATAATGCTTTTATAACTCTAAAGTGAATTTATAATTGTTTTATATGTCAGTAATGTTCTGCATTTTAATGCATTTCTTAATCGTGAATAAGGAGGATGGCTCTTGCGGCCACTCTGGCTTCTCATGGTTTAAAACCGTGTCACAATTATATAAAAAAATATATACAAGTATAAAGAGCAAAGCACGGAACTACGAAACGCTCCCGAACACAGGTCACCACCTTACAACACGTCCAACGTCACCAGTACACATCTCACATTCAAGTCTCGGTTTTAAAATAACCATAACACTTATTACATGGAAACTAAATTCAAAGTAATGTTTATAAAAAAGAACTTTTAAAGAAGAACACATAGCATTGCACTTCCTAATTTCAATTATTTCTTACGAGCAACTATATTTACGCCAGACGAGAAGATCACAAAAGGAAACCTCGAAGCCATTTACAAGTTAGCCAACTGCAAACGAATGAATGGAGGAAGGAGAGTCTAATAGACGCAAGGACACAACGACCGCAGAACCTTCATTTTTGTTGCTAGCACTAGCTGTCAAAACGGTCCATGCTTATAAAATTCGCTCTTTAAACGGTTTAGGCTCTAGCGTCGTTGACAAACCCTCAAAGTGTGTGGCAGTTCGTGGGATACGCAGGCGAGCAGAAACGAGGAGAGACGAACAGGCGGACAAGCTGGCGGATAGACAGGCATGAGGCCAAACAGGCGGGCAGGCTGGCAGACCGTCGGGTAGACTCGCAGACAGACAGACAGGCGGCAAACAAATGAACATACTGGCGGACAAGCTCATGGTCTGGACGACAGGCAGATTGGACAACGAAACAATCGCCATTGGCAGGATTTTGTCGTAGGCCATTCCATGAAGTTGGGCTGACAGGGGAATGATTGGTTGGTATTTTACCATTTGTCTTCCCCATATTTCGAAAGGATAGACCTATCCATGTAATGGACAATCACGTCGACGTGTTCCCGGCTTTTTGTTTCCTTGTCGAATTGGAGTTTGAGCTCCTCGGCAACGGAGAAGTGGCGTCCATTCATTACGGTGTCTGATTTTCAGAGCATCTTCTTCCTCTTTATGAAGGTATCTTTATTCTTGCTGGCTTAGTTAAAGTTCATTGACCCAGAATGTGGTTCATAGTTTCTATTTAAATAATACACTTCCTGCAATATTAATCCTCTGTGCCTCCGTGTACTTATGATAGATTCATTTTAGCGGTATTCGATCTCAAATGAAGATTATAAATGATTGAAAATAAAAAAATAAAATGATTAAAGATATCGGTGTCTTTCCTGTAACGAATCAGAGAAAGCAATGTACATGTATGTTCAAGAAGTATCCATTTTGTGCAATCAAGACTCCAGAAAGTGAGATTTTATTTTCAAAATTGCTGTTTCTCACCGCAGCATTATGAAAATTTGTCTATAAATCTTAACAGTGTGCGAGAAAGTAACAAATCAATCAAAAACCAGAGACAGATCAAATAATATTGAACGATCAAATGAAAGGATGAGCTATGAAGACTAGGATGAGGATAATTTGAATGATTCTAGTATTTTAGAAATGTAAGTACAGTTACTATATACTGTTATCATTTTCATAGTCACTCTATATTGTGAGTCAGTTTAGCAATAGTAAGGAATACCTATTAATTAGTGAAACAAAATATGTATTTTTTATTCTTTGGACGTTTAGCGAATTCCATAATTTTACATCACCACAAACAAGCAAGCAAGCAAATTATTAACATTTCTTCATCTGTGTTTTATTTCAGGTTCAAGGGCGGCGGTTTCTCTGCCGAGCTTCTGCTGCCTCAACGCGATCCTGTGAATGTGACTGCGTCGTATGTCGTCCAACGAAACAACGTCACCGGCTCCGCGGCCGCACGCTGGGGCAACGAAACCCTCACCGCCGACACCAAACTCATCTTCAAGGAAGAGGGAGAGGACGAAATTAGCCGTGGACATAAACATACATTAACAATAGACGTGGAGCATTCCGTTTCAGGAGAACTATTTTTCCTCGATCTATCTCTGAAAGTACCAGACGACTCCTCTCGTCTTCCGTTAAGGCCGTCGGACATCAGCATGTCGAGTCACGTCATAAGCCGCGTGAGTGGGGAAGAGATCCGGGTCGACACTAGGCTGAACTTGATTAACTCAGGCTTAGGTGAAGCGCTCATAGACGTGACGACGCCTTTCACAAACTGGACTTCGCTTAACTTTTCCTACGTAGGGCGAATAGACTCCGCGGACGCCGCGGCGTGGAAGTGTAGCGTATCGAAGGAGGGCACGACCGCACAGTTCGTGGCGAAGTGCAAGGCGAGCCCGAGCCATTCATTGGTGGACGCGTCCCTGCATTACAACGACGCTCTCGTCGCCTCGGTGGCCGGCCACTACGACCGCAGCGACCTCTCCAACCAGACGATGGAGGTGAAGTGCCAGATCGGCGACAAGATTGCTCTTCTGAAGGGCGGCTTCGAGCAAAGGGACAGCAACGCCCTCAGCGGAGGCGCCAGATGGCACGCCTTGCTCATCACCCCGCTGGAAGGCCTCGCTCACACGGAGGTATGAGTTAGCTCAGAGCCGGCAGTGCAATTGCAGGCATCCGCGGCCACAGTCGTGTTCGGCTCTCGGCTGTCCCGGGTGACACTGTTTTCCTCACGGACGGAGTGAAGAGCATCACAGTATGATGGTCGAAACGTCGGCGTCACTACCCTCGACGCCGCGTCATCCGGACACGATATTTTGTCTAATAAACTCCTTGGATATTCCGAACGGCTGAGCCGCAAACAGCTCTCAAAAGTTGGTATGAAAAATTACTTTCTATGCAAACATTTGCATTGAAAAATCATATAAACACTCCAGAAACACGTAAATAGTTTATTATTTACAAACAAAATTAATATATTTGTTCAGAATTAAAAAAAACTTAACCCAGAATTTAAAAAAATCAGTCGAATTGTGTGCATTGAGCGCTTTTTTTAAGCTCTTTTGTAAATAATGTGCAATTTACATGTTTCTGGGGAATTTATGTTTCTGAAATGCAAATTTTTGCCTTGAAAGTCATTTTTTCAAACAAATTTTTGAGTGCTTATTGCGGTTCGTCCACTCGGAATATCCAAGGAGTTTATTAGACAAAATGTGATTAAAATTGTCTTCAGAGCTTATTTTCCATGTTTCGACGTTTCTTCCCTAGACCCGCTATATTATTTATACACACATTTTGTCTAATCACAGTGAAAAAGGTTATGTAATTTTGAAAGGGTGAAAACCAGAACGGTAAAAGTGACATTTTTAAGTTCTGAGAAAAACGTGTTTATTTTAGGATATATTTTAGTGGCAATGTATTTTAGTTGTTTTCATGAACAATTGCCATGCGTTTTTTTAATGATGAAACAAAGTCCCACGACTTTACAATAATATCGACTTAAATAATCAGATTCCTCAGAATGTATAAAATGTCACTTATATCGTTCTGGTTTTCAATTTTAAGTGTAGTAATTAACGATTGAATACAAGTATGCAAATGTCTAAGAAAGTCGTGGTGCGCCGCAGGGCGAGCTGAAGTTCGACAACGCGGAGGGCGCGCAGGAGCTGGCGCTGCTGGTGCGCAAGGACGCGTGGCTGCTGCAGGCGAACGGCAGTTGCGCCTTCGGCCAGCAGAGGTCGCGCGCCGCGCTCGACGTGCTGCTGCCGGCGTCGCTGGCCGTGCGCCGCCTGGGCGCCGCGCTCGACTACCGCCAGATGTCGCCCTCGGACCACCTCGTCGTCTCCTCCATCACCTGCGACGACCAGGTGAGCTTCTGCTCCCAACTGTCTGGGGACACCCGCAAAAAAATGAGTTTCCACTAAAAATACTAATTATAATAGAATAGCTTTTTGTACAAATACAAATGAAAATTAACGTACTGCTTTTGGAATTGGGCATGGCCATACAGTGGGGATTGGCATTTAACCGATGTGTACACGTTATATCTACCCCAACTGTTCGTCAACCCTAATGCATAGGTTTTCGGCGGGTACATGAACTCTTGACTGCGTCAGAACTGACAGTGCTGAACAGTCAGAACGTGTAGGTAACAGTCAGAATAAGTAGGCTTGTGTATATAATTCCACACTATATGTTCATCGGAAAAAGTGATCACTGTCGACTCCTGAAATATGTGAAATTATTGAGAGTCATTTCAAATTTTTGTGTCTTTAAGTACAATCACACGCTTAGTTTCTTACCCCTTCAATTACATTTTAATCACATCTCGAATTTTTGCAAATAATTTATATTTTCCTCATTGATGGATCCGCTACAGAACTGTCTCTTTTGCTTGTAGGTAAATCCAGTTATAAATGTATATACTGATGTCCTAACCACCAAAAATGACATATCTACAAAATACAGTTAGTTAATACCCCTAGTGTGACGGGCAAGCCGCCTGTCTTCCATCGTTGAGACCTCCATTCAGGAGACAAGCACGTCAGGTTGCGAGCAAAGTGCGTGCACCAATTGGGGCGGTGCTTCGCCGTTGAAAGATGCCTGAAAGATAAAAACTCCGTAGCCGACGTGTTGGTCAGCGCCAGATCTTACCATCTCACCATCAAGTCGCAAAAAAAACGGCCACCTCTCACAATTAAACAATCAATACATTTACGGGACTTACACAATAGTTGACGTGTCCGAAAACACGAAATAATGACCGGGAGAGGTGGCTCAGGACATTAACTGACGTCACTGCATTGCCTCTCACCGGGAGGTTCTAGTTTCGAATTCCGACAGTGGCAGGATTTTCGACACTACCTTGACAGCTAGGTCGAATTCAGTCGTTATCTGGAGGAGAATTCTAGCGGCCGGCTGCTCGGATCGGTAGTTTTCCGTGGTTTCTCCGATCAACACCAGCGAATTTTGAAGCAGTATTCAAACAAGCAGGCCACTTCCCTACCTTTTCCTTGACCTATTATCACCCTTTCGCACAGTTAATCTAACATGTACTATACTAGCATCCATGCCGGGAGACTGGTCGGGAGCTCAGAGCTTGTCCTGGCTGAGGCGGAGTCCCGCTGGTGAGTGATACCTGGTTGGGGAAAACCCTGGCAGCCGACAGGTAGGTCGGCTCCGGATCTCGCCATCCAGTGAGGATATATCACCGCCAGCTAGAGAGGATCAACACGAACTATACTTCCAGGACTAATGACTAGCCATTGATGCACCCGGAATCACTGGTTATCGATCAATGAACAAAATAATGAATGGACGGATGGTGGTGCGCAGGTGCTGGAGACGAACGTGTCGCTGGCGGCGTCGGACGGGGAGCTGGCGGCGTTCCTGGAGACGCGCAGCACGCGCGACGGGTACGGGCCGCTGTCGGCGCGCTTCAACGTGGCCGGGACCGTGCGAGGGGAGGGCAAGGCCCTGCTGTTCGAGCTGGACGGCGCCGGCGGCCGCCGCTTCAACCTGACTGCGCAGCTGCGCGCGCCCAGCGCCCTGCGCGTCGACGCCCGCCTCGCCGCCTCCGCGGCCTCGCCTTCCTTCGGGCGAAGCCGCTTCCTCGACACCGCGCTCAGGTACGGCCCTCGCGCCCCCATTGCAGCTCTGCGTCTGGGATGTGTCGCCCGCAAATGTCACAGTCCTCTTAAATAAATTGGGGTTCTGCTCAAAAAACGTACGTGGTCATCTAAAATTCATGCAATAGCGTATAAAACTTACATACAAATTTCGAAATTATGTCAGGTAATAAAATTAAAATATTTCGTTAAAATACAATGTGGTTTAGTAATACACAAATCAATTCCAGAAGCCTTTTGGTCTGACAGGTACTTTTCTGTATTTTCTCCGTCCAACACCAGTGGAGTAATGGAGGAGTACCTTAACAAACAATCCATGGACAGCGCACGATTTCTCCTTCCCTATTGCTTGCCCCATCCTGTCCCCTCACTTCCCTACACTTACACGTGCATGCATGCATTCCACTAGCTCACAAGTCGGGATACCAGTCAAGAGCTTAAAGCTTGTTCCGGCTGGGGCGGTGCCCGGCTACTGGCAGAAAACTGGTTTGGAAAATCCCCTCAGGCCGACCTAGATCGGAGTTCGATCTTACCGTCCAGCGGGGGAATGTCACATCTACCACCAACGATACAAGCATACACTACACTTACGGCAATAATATCTGTTCGTGCCGCGCGTAGGTACGACCTGGTGGGCGCGGAGATGCCGGAGGGCACGTGGCGGCGTCGCTTCGCGTCGCTGGCGATGAACGTGTCGGCGCGCGCCTACGTGCTAGAAGGAGAAGTGAAGACGGCGGCCGACCGCCTGCGCGCGAACGCCTCCATCGCCGTGCGCCTGCCCCTCGAGGACGGGATGCGCGCGCATGCGCACTACGACGCGCGACCGCGCGGCGCGCTCTCCGCCGCCGCCTCCGTCGCCACCGCCGCCGGCCGCGACCTCTTCCAGGCCGCGCTCGCACTCAACGACAGCCTGCTCACGGCGCAGGTAAGCCTCCACTTACTAAAAATCAAATGCTCGAGGAGTATGGCCATGGATTTATGTATAGACAGTGTTTTTTTTTATTTTCACATTCATTGATATAACTTTGTAAACTATGAGATTCCCCAGACTGCGCAAGCGTTCGCGCCTGGACCAACAATATATCAGATTACCTTTTCACATCTGAGTCACCATGCGTCGCGTGTCGTCAGCATGACGTCGTGTGACTTCATACATTGAGACACAATCTTGAAGTCATTACGACGTGATATGATGTTGTCGATGGCGTCGTGTGACTTCATGTGACATCGTCAGTGTCCCAGAACTCTCTTATCTTCTATACGTGTCTCCTCTCATGTCATATCTTTTACTGAAAACCACCACTGTCATAATTGTACATTACACCTACTAACACAACACTATCTCCCTTACTCATAATTTATTGCTAATGGCAGTCGTTAAGAGCCAGGCAATAATATTACACAGGCACACACAAAAAAGTTGTTAGACTGAATGATTTGACATATGTTTCTGTAGGTATGTATGTCGTCGCCCTGAATCCAAAGCCAGAAAAGCGACATCACCGTCCAGTTTTTGAAATAATATTTATTGTTTTTCGGGGTTGTTCAGACCCAAAGACTTGATAACATGTCTCTCTACATATGTTGACGCGCTGAACACTGTGATGCCAGAATTGCGCCATCACCTTCCACTTTTTTTAATCGTGAAAAGCACGTAAATTGTAAATTTCACAGTAGTTGTTCGCAATTTAAAAAAACCTGAAAAGTTGAGGCGCCATTCTGACTTCGGATTCAGCGCGTCGACTTTCGTAGAGAAACATGTGTTAAGTCTTCGGATCTGACAATCTTTTTTTTACAAAAATTCGTGCCTGTGTTATGAAATCGCGTGAGTTCCATTAATCCCTTTTCACGAAACGTTTGCGTTCTGAGTGCGAGGGCCGGCGTGCGCGTGCGCAGGTGGTGAGCGAGCCGCTGGGCGTGCGCGCGCTGACGGTGGCCGCGAGCTGGGCGCCGCGCGCCGCCTCGCCCCACTTCGCGCGCCTGCACCTGCACCTGCCGGAGCGCCAGCTCAGCGTGCAGGCCACGGCGGCGCGCGACCTGAGCGCGTGCGAGCTGCAGCTGAGCGCGACGGGCGCCGGCGGCGGCCGGCTGCACGCCAAGTACGACGCCTCGGCGCCGCAGCGCAACCTCACCGCGGTGGTGGCGCGCGGCGACGACACGCTCACGCTCTCCGCGACGCTCGCGCGCGGCGACCAGGGCACGCGCGGCGACTTCTACCTGTCCGCGTCGCGCCTGGGCCGCGTGCACGTGCTGGCGCGCCTGCGCACCCCGCTCGGCTCGCAGCTCGACCTCTTCGTCGACGACCGCGACTTCAACCGCGTGCTGCACACCGGGCTGGCGTCCACGGCCAAGGAGGTGTCCGTCTTCACCGAGTCGCAGTTCAGGGACCTTCAGAAACTCAACATTTCCATCCGATTCGACGTAGTGCCTGCCTTCAACCACGTAGGCCTCGACATGGAATACATCGCGGAGCAGACCAAGTTTCCAGCTAAACTTTCAGCGAAAATCGATAGAAAATCCGCCATCTTCAAACTCCAACATTTCGTCTACAAGTTTTTTCCCGAAGATATGGAAACGATACTCACATACGATAAGTTGTTAGACACACCCAGTAATCCGTCGTTTGTTTTCGTACTCTCCGTCAACAACACGAAGATATTCCGCTCGTCGGCGCATTTTGTTTTCGACTGGGAGAAGGAGATTCAAATCGACCTCAAGATGAACTCGCAGCAGCGCGACAAGAAGTGGCGGCTGGGCGTGGGCTGCCGGTGCGAGACCAAGTTCCCGGCGACGGTGAGCCTCAACGTGACGGACCAGACGGGCGCGCTGGTGGCGATGGACGGGAGAGCCGTGGCGGCCGAGCGAGGCGGCTTCACTTACCGGCTGGCGCTCAGCACGGACCACGGCCGGCAGAGGCGCGAGGCGCTGGTGGAGTACTACCCTAGGAACCCGCTGCTCATGTCGGTGGACACCAACGCCACGTCGGGGGCGGAGACGCGACGCTACTTCGCCGCGCTCAAGATGGACGTGGAGCGCGCGCTGCTGCGGTTGGATCTGGCGACGCCGGTCGCGGGCTACGAGAACCTCACGCTTCACTGGCGGCGCGAGGACGACTCGCTGGCGCTGGACGCGCACACCACCTACCCGGGCTTCGAGCGGGTGGGGGTGCGCGCGCGCTTCTACCTGCAGGAGGGCCCCGCCAAGGCGGCCAGCCTCTACGTGGAGCGGGATGGGTCCACGGTGGGCGGCGCGCTCTACCTCGAGCGGGTGGAAGGGCTGCTCAACGTGAGCTGCGAGCTGGAGCTGCACGGGACCGGAGGCGGCAGGTCAGGGTTGAACTTCTGGTACGACGTGCGAGGGCCGTTGAAGTCCGTCGAGGTGAAACTGCTCGACACGTGTGTGCACCGCGTGGCCGCCACATTCGCCACGGAGCCTGGACTCGAACTGCACGCCATTGCAGACATTAAGAAGCAAGCGTCTTCCCTCGATGTGTCCTATAATCCGAAGCACGTGGCCTTCCGCGGAGTGGTCGTGGGAAAAACAGTTGCCGATTTTAATTTTCAGCGCGTTGATTCCGGCAATGACACGTCTGTAGACGCAAAATTCATGTCATCTTTCGTGGCTCATCCACTGAAACTCAGGTACGACTACAATGTACTAGAAAATCCAAATCCAGAAATTCGTATGTTTATGACGGTATCAGCCTTGGAAAAAACATCCACTGTAGATTTCCGTATGCCAGCTGATGATTCTCCGAACATGTCATACAACTTAAAAGTCGATCTTCCAGATGGCGAATGGACCGCTGAGGTTCACATACGTGAGGAAGGTTCTATAGAAGCGAAAACCTCAGTGGTTGGTTACGGAGCAGAGTTGCTGCATGCTGAAATGCATGAATCTTCACCAGGTGTCAAGGCATTGACTGTTTCTGTTCTGGATGGCCAATTCGTAGATGCAAAATTGACGTTCGATTTCTCAGGAATAAAAAAATTCTCAGACCTTCACGTGCTGCGCGACGGATCACCGATCTTGAACGCTCACCTCCACGCAGAAGTAAAGGAGGAGTCGGTAGAAGTGATAGGAACAGCTGACGTCCCGAACTTTCCTTTGCGGGGTTTCGCCTTCAACTATACTCTGGGACGGGGGGATGTACTTCGTAAAGAATATCCTGAAATAATCACCGACGGCGCGGGAGTAGGACACTGGCTTTATTTTGTTTGGCAAACCGAATCTGATCGGATGGCTACTGATTTACATGCAGTCTTCGGACCGCAGATCGTTTTGGACGTTTCTGTGAAGAATGGAAAAACACATCTGCTTTTATATAATCATAAGTTGTATACTTTAGTAAAGGAAAGTGTGGAGAAGCAACTAGATATGCAACTGAAACTAAAAGAATTAGAATGGAAACTTTTTGGAGTGTCTACATTCCGCGAACACGTTTCTGGAATAAGATTAGAAGCTACGACACCTTGGTCTGAACTGCAACGACTTGTGTTCAATTTCCACAGGAATGACTCGTTCGATTTAAAACTTCTCGCCACTTCGCATAATAAAGACGCTCAAATCACTGCTAAAATGACCTCTCAGGACGGAACATTCGCCAGCGCGGAATTATCCCTTCCCGATCGCCCTAAGGTAGCAGCCGTCGTGAGCGCAAAGGGCGGCCGCAGTCCTGCGTTGATTCTGGAAGTGACCTCAGGGGAGCAGGTGTTGAAGGCGGAGGCAGGCGCCGAGGTGCGGGAGGGCGGCCGTGTGGAGGCGCAGGCGCGACTCACCACCCCATGGAATATCCCTTGGGCCCTGGAAGGCACGTACGACGGCGGAGTGGCACACGTGCGCACCGTTCACGGCACGCGCACGGTCGCGGAGGCGGAGGGCAAGCTGGACTTCAAGTACGATCAAGACGTCTCGTTCAGCCTCGCCCTGGAAGGCGCCGTGTTGGACAGGAAAGCGCGTGCGGCCGCCGGCTGGAGCTGCCCGACGCAGGGAGGCTCCGGCCAGAGAAGCGCTCACTTGGAGTGGCAGTCCGAAGGCGCGATCGTCAAGTTCCGGTTCGACGCCGAACCCGAGTCACGTGGCCGGAAGTTCGGCGGCACCATGGCGATCGTCGCGGACTCTATCGTTCTGCACGGATCCGCCAACGGCACGTGGCCTAAGGCGGCCGCGGTCGCGGTGCGAACAGGCGGCATGCAACAGGCGTACGAAGCGTCTTACGACTTCCGAGAGGATGGGCACACGACCAACGGCGCGGTCCTTCTCAAGACATTGGTTTGGGAACCCCTGGAAGTGAAGGTGTCACTGACTGACGACAAGGCAACGGGGAGGAGAGAAGCCGTTTTCTCAGCTCGAGGATATCGCGTATTCGCCTTCTACAACAACAACGGCATTTCGGACACCAGATTCGAACTATCTGATTCAAACGGTGTCATTTTGTCTCTAAAGAACGTACTTATTGGCGATACTTACAACGGCGAAGTGGCATGGCGTGAGAATTCCTCTCCCAAGAAAGTAGAGATCTCACTTCGAATGGAACAGAACGGGAAATTTGAACTCACGTCTCCGTGGGACATGTACGCGTTGGCAAACTGGAACCACGTGAATAAGACAAACGGCCAAGCGCTGCTGCATTGGAACGGCATGGATTTGAACGCGGAGTACGACAGATCGCTTCCGTTCAGCCGCGTGTTCCTCGGCTCGCCGTGGGGCGCGGTGCACTTGAGGCAGGTGAAGGGCGAGGAGCAGGGCAGCATCGCCTTCATGGTGGACGACTCCACCGGGGACAAGCAGGTGCTGTACGCCAAGTACGAGTACGACGACCAGATGAGATTCCTGCTGCACGTCTGGCGGGAGGCTCTGCACAAGGTAAGTGGGCAGTGGATGCGCTTTCTATTGCTTCTTCGTTCCTACTTCTGCTGTATTTTTGCAGTGGTATTAGGAGTAGAAGTAGGGTGTAGATCTTTATTTTGTTAGCAATGCTCTAAAATAAATTCCAGTTCTTTGACGATGAAAATGCGTTTTGTTTTAGTTCGGAGCGAAGATATCTAGTTTTCAAATATTTCTAACCACGCTTTGTTGCCTCGTTTATTCATTTTCAACTATTTAGAGTAAATGGTGGGGAATGTATTCTACGGCTCTAGAAAATGTGCGCAAATATGTGATATATGTATATGATACACATACAGTTTCTTGAGTAAAATAAATCGAATAAAAAATTACGAAGGAAATTGAATCACCAAATTTACTTTTTCCTAATTTAATTAATTTCTATTTGCTTTTAATATTACTTCAAGTAAATATTTTTTTAAAAGTTAATAATTTTTATGTGCTTTAAGGCTTTAAAAATTCAGAATTTTTTGATCACCTAATCTCTGTGTTGAATACTGCATAATAATGTGAGAAACGTTATTGTGTACGACTGAAAGTACCTTTTGTAATAGGGCACAATTATAATATTCAATGAAAGAGAGAAATGAATAACCCCTCTTAACAGAGTGCGTCTCTTAAGAGTATTACACTGCCCTTTGTTTAGAAAAGTGACTACAAATGAATATGGTGAATGAGTGCAGTTATTTTCAGGAACCTTATTTCTAATTTATGTGATTCGTTGTTATAAGGTGGTTTTATAGGGTGGTATTTTGAAAGTGGTATGTACGAAATTGTTAAAGAAAGGCAGACGGCCTATAACATCCTTATTGCTTTCAAACGTAGGCTATCGAATCTGTTTACAAACGTCAACTGTTTCTTTTATTTAATGTTGATCACCTTGATGACCTCAATAACTACAGATGTTTTAGAATATACAAACTTGTGGGGTGTACAGAGGGGTAGAAAATTGTTGTCTAGGCTATCTGGGACGAGCCGCGTCAGTGACATGGTGTCTAACGTTTTGGCCAGCGTATTGTTGCCTTCTTCAGAGCGTACTGCTGAACCTCGCAATATGTCAGTGACGCGGCTCGTCCCGTATAGCCTAGACAGCATAAACTCCGGCCGCGGAAGCCTACGCAACCGGGCAGAAAATTCCCACTTTTTGCCAATGAACGTACATTGGGCTATTTCACGGCATTGGCCCAAATTGTCAGGCTCCCGCCGGGTGCGACCTGAGGGCCAGCAGGGGCTGACGCGCGTTGCTCTGGCAGGTGGAGGTGTCGCTGAGCCCCGACCTGCGGCGCGCGTACGCCCTGGTGGCGACGCCACGGCTCAACGTGGACGCCGGCGTGGAGGCGCGCGCGGACGGGTGGGGGGCGCGCCTGCGCACCGAAGGCGAGCTGGCGCCGGCCGTGGACGCGCGCCTCAGCAGCGACGACGCGCACTTCGCCGCCAGCGCGAAGCTGCCCGGCGCAGACCTGCAGGCCGCGCTCACCAGACACCCGGTGCGTCCCGTGGCTTCGTCTTTTCCTACCTCTAAGCCCGGCACACGAGCGTTGCGTTGTCGCGCGATAAGTGACGCGCGTCGTAGAATAACATTGTAGCGTATGCGCAACGCTTTCGCCGTTCCGCAGAAGATACAGTGTTAATCTACGACGCGCGTTACGTGTCGTGTGTTGACGTAATGCTCGTGTGACACAGCCCTATTGTGTTCTTACCTGTTCTTTATATACCTTTTATTGCTTTTTACATCTCAATGTGTGCCTACTTCGTATTGCTCTATGACTTGCTGTTTTTCTATTTAATCCTTTCATTTTTTGTTTTGTGCTTATTTTGTACCCCATTTTCCATCTTTTCCTTTGAATCTGATTCTCCTCTTTAACTTTTTCTTCTGCTTTCTTCTCCTCTCATTGTTTTCTTTCCATTCGACTGTGCAATGACTGGAGGGTTGTTTTTTTATGGAACCGTTCTCTTCCTATAGCTTTGTTTGGATCTTTAACCCTTTCATTGGAAAGTTGAATAACTACTGTAAATAACTTGAACGATACACCATCTAAAAAAACTTATATCTGTCTAAATGACTTTTACGAAAGAAGTATTGTAATAAGTTTCATTAAAATATAAGATAGGAAAAGTATCAGATGAGGCCGTTATTTTGAGTTTGATAGCTAATCGAGTATTCCAATGAGATGTTAGAATACTAGTATTGTACTCGTACAATGTTTATTCACTTTGTGAAGTGTTTAAATATTATGTTTCATGTGACTATTCATCAATGCGGAATTGTGTTATATTGTTAGTGGCTAATAATAGGCCTTTGATTACTAAAAAACATGTGCTCTAATAAGCCTTATTACGAAGCTGATTTCAATTTTGTTAAAGTTTACATTTACTAATCCAAGTATGTACGTTACCAGCATTTTGTCCTATATCTTAAATAATGTTTTGAGCTCTCATTCGTAGACTAGTACTTACTTTCACTGTTTATTGGATAGAGAGTGTTATTTTGCGGTACGCATTCGCGAACTGCAAAGAAGACATATCCATACAAAACAGCTAACTCCTGCAAAGTAAACAAAATACGGAATGATATAAATAAAAAAAACTGTTGCTGCTTCGAGATATACTAATAAGTTGCCATTAGCTCGTACAACAAACATTAAATATTTTAGTTATTGCTTCATATTTTCGTCGATATGGAGGTCGATATGCACTAAACTTTAGAAAAGATCGTAGTTACTAGAGAAATATTAAGACATTTGAACAATGCTATATGGTCTCTCATGGAGCAAATTATGAGATGGGAATAGGAAAGACAAACAGAGTCAAACGAACCTTGATTAATAAATAAGTAAATGTGAATTATTAAAATTGGTTACGTATTAGGAAAACAGTTGACTGATGTTATATGGTCTCGTGGAAAAAATTATGAGACGGGAATATAAAAAGCCAAACTGAGTCAAGTCAGCATCTAGATGCTTAGTAAATAAGTAAATATGAATGATTAAAATTAGGTAAAAATCAAATCTCGTATATAGTACGTCGGGCGTAAACGCTTTCTAATGACTTCTAATGCGAAGAACACTTATAAAACGCTTGGTGCCCAAGTAACTATCTTAGGAAAGTGTGAGTGTGTGTGTTGTGCGCAGGTGGCGCGCGTGTCGTTCTCGTACGCGGCGCAGGCGCTGCGCGCCAACCTGAGCGCGGAGGGCGGCGCGCGGCCGTCGCTGCGCGCGTGGGCGCGCGCGCAGGGCGTGGGCGAGGCGCGGCTGGAGGCGCTGCGCGAGGCGCAGGCCGCGCGCCTCTCCGCCGACTGCGCGGCG